CCTGAGGAAGGTCGCAGAATGGCGACCGAAACGTCGGCACCTTCACCATGGACGCGGCGTCACCCGGAATGTTCATTTTGAATGAAACGTGCAAACCTTTTGTTGCCTTGTGTTTCGTGTGCCCTGTCAACGCTGTGCGCCGTGCCGGCGCATGCGCAGATCGCGGGGCTGGCGGGCGCGCTGCTGCTGGTGGTGGACTGCGCGGCGCTGTTCGTGATGTGGCGGTCGCGCTTCGACGTGGAGGAGGCGGCGGGGCGCGGGCCGTCGGCGGTGGGCGGCGTCGCCGGAGGCATGCCCGGCGACCGGCCGCCGCCCCGCAAGTCCATCTTCGCGTAGTTCTTCCCCGCTCTCCACGCCAGTGCGCCTCGCTGGATGGGGGACCTACGCTAGCTCTCCTCGCTGGTGCGACTCGTTGGATTCTCACGGTGGGTGGCCTACGGCGAAGCTCTCCACTGGTTAGCATCGCTGTTGCTTTCGATGGGTGACATACGCTGGTGCCCTCAGCTGGGGACCTGCGCTGGCACTCCTCACTGGTGCGTCTCGCTGGTTTCCCACGGTGGGTCACCTACGTCGACGCTCTGCACTGGTGCGCTTTACTGGTGCCCTCGATAGGTGACCTACTCTGGTGGAACTCGCTGGTGCGCTTCGCTGGTGTGCCTCGCTGGTTTCCCACGGTGGTTGACCTACGCTGGCGCTTCCCACTGATGGGTTTCGCTGGTGCCTTCGGTGGGAGACCTACAATGACGCTCCTCGCTGGTGTGCATCGCTGGTGCCCTCGGTGGGGAACATACACTGGAACTCTGCGCTGGTGCGTCTCGCTGGTGCCCCACGGTGGATGACCTACACTGATTGGAGCTTGCTGGCGTCTCACCTCAGATGATCCATTCTGGTGTGTCTCACTGGTGTTTCACGTTAGCGTGCACGACAATGTCCGTGATCGTGCCCACGAGTGGCTTACGTTGGTGCCAGTTGGTGACGCATGAAGGCATGTATGACAATGACCACAATCATACCCACACTAACGCTTATGATGACGCCCATGTTTGTGCCTACGCCATATTTCCACCCTAGATCATCATGTTGATGTCCCATATCAACATTTACGTTCAGAGCGTCGTTCAAGTTTTGCTTCAGATCTTTGCCAAACTGTTTCTCCAAGCTACTGTGATATCGTAGGGAGATACCTATCTCACTCTCGCTAATTCCAATAGTCCCACCAATGATGACAAAATGCGGCTTATGCGTTGCTGATTGCACCTGATTCTGTTCACACATATGTCCACGCCCCAAGGAGACGTTAACTCCAAAGTGTTCCCTAAGGCTGGTTTCCTTGTGGGACGCCCACAGATGTTCTATACGCATACATCTACGTCCAGAGAACATTCAAGTCGACACTCATACTGGTGTGTCCGCCATGAAGCTACACCATACTGACAATGCATGCTGGCAACCCATGCTGATGTCCCACGATCGCCTTACATAGCCGACACCCCCAGTCACACTGACGGCAGTTGCGAGATGCTGACACCATCATCCACGGTGATGCATGTGCTGGTGCCTCACATTTATGTGTACCTTTGCATCCTAGAGGGCGCCTTCTCAAAACTCCCGTGAAGTCGTCGCTGGGTGCCCCGCACTGAGGCCGCATGCCAACGACCCACGCCGGCGTTCTCGCACTTGCCCACTCCAACTCTCGCGCCGACGTCACGCTGTTTATTCCTAGGCCTACGTTGGCGCACACGTTGGCGCACACGTTGGCGCACACGTTGGCGCACACGTTGGCACACACGTTGGCGCACACGTTGGTGCACAAATTGGTGCACACGTTGGTGCACACGTTGGTGCACACGTTGGTGCACACGTTGGTGCACACGTTGGTGCACACGTTGGCGCACACATTGGCGCACACGTTGGTGCACACGTTGGCGCACACGTTGGTGCACACGTTGGTGCACACGGTGTCATGACGCCTGCGCGAAATACCTGACCTGTGGACCTGGCGAGCCTTCTCAGCTGATTAGAGGCCCTAGATAATGAAAATAGCGCATTCCATTGTTCCACCGATCACACCATTTTATATCCAGTCATCAGGAGAATGGGAACTACTTGTTATTGTGTGTGTTGATAATCATGTACCTATCCCAATCCAATATTAATATTCTTGAAGATCTCCATAACGTTACTAATGGTTACAATTTCGGTTCATCTCCTTATTGCTGCCTGGCGGGACTATTAGGTGAGATGATATTAAATGGCGTCGGTTCCGTTACTCTCTGTATCTAAGGACTCTATCAGCTAGCGGCTTCCAGCGCCCCCTGCGGCCACGACGCTGAGTGCAGGAGTCACCAAAGTTACACCGCTCACCACCATTCTACATCGACGCATGTCTTCATGATTCCTTTTACATGTACTCTACAATGACTGTGTAACCTATGTAGGCTTTTTAATACATTTTTAAAGTGTAAATGTAGGTGTCGAGCTAAGGCGAGTACGGGATGTACACATTCTGCAGGCGGATAAAGCTGATAAAAAACACAGGTATTAAAATCTCTTGAAGTTCATAATAAATCGTCCGCTTCTTCGGAGAATCATAAACATTAAATAAAATCTCAATAGTAAGGTTTAGTCTAAATTGAACACTCTTGTGATGACCCCTAGTTAAGTAACCAACGGTTTCAATTCACAACTGGTACCTGGAATGCGCGTACTCACACTCGCACTTAGAGATTACGACCACAGTAAACAGACTTCGTTATCATCACTGCTCTAATCATTCGTTTCATTAACGTCATCATCACTACTAGGAGCAGGGCCAGATTCATACACGACAAGCAAAGCAACCAGCAGCTTAGTGTCCCACCCCATGCTTTGACGGTCCAACGACTCAGAAAAAAAAATCCATAAAACATTCGATAAAAATGTTTGTATCTGTCAAAGTAATAGTTCATGTTTGACAGATGCTATGCTGTAAATTTTATTTTATTACTTTTTATAAATAGTGTGTCTAGTAAATCTAGAGAATTTCTTCCTGGGAGTGCCCTACACGATTTTGTGCTTGGGGACTCTGAATGGGGACACTGAAGTGCCTAAATCCAACTTCTAATTCAGAGAATGACTAGCCAATATTATCATTTAGTACTAACTTACTAGCGTATACGGAATAAAAAACAATCAAAATCAAGCACGTCGCAAATATCACTCATTGAATTTGAATACCTCTTCAGGAAACAAACATGCCTGAAATATGAATCAAATCGGCTGGGCATTAATTTATTATAGAAAACATCCAAAATTTGTTCCTATCTGCATTCTTAATGTTGTAGAAACTCAGCAGCATAATCTTTAGAAACTTAAAAAGTAATAAAATATATGGTCGGGTAGAAAGGTTTATAAGATATCAAGGCGTAATCACCTTAAAATGTAAGGAAACGAAATATGAAAAATAAAGAATTAATGATGCTTGATGCCCACTTTTCAATTTATAATATATTAATATATAATATAACAAGGGTGTGATATAATATATTTCGAGGATCTAAATTAGTCATTGTCGCATTAGTTCATGTAGCATCACTGGAACAGTTCCAAATGAAAAATATGAATACACGTGGGTACCTCGATTAAATTCGAAAGTACTCGATAAAAACAAGAATAGACTGTGACGCGAGACAATCAAGCACCGGTTTCCTTGAACAGCCGAACCAGTATTTGGTTCAAAATATATTCTCAATTAACTTTTTATAAGCTCTGCCAGATATATCAGAACTCATGCCAGTGAATTTTGAAGCAATATGTCTATACCATAATATGCTTTATTATGTATATGAATTGTACATACTTATGTTTTTGCTTTTAATCATATATTATAAAATAGATATGTTCACACGTGCCGTTTTTGTACATTTTTTTGTAGATCGCAACATTAACTACCATCATAAATAATTCATCACGCTATGAAAATGCTTCATCAATCATTTTTGTCTCGAGATACATCATTACAATTTGTGTTCTCATGTGTACGAGTAATATAGTATGCTAGTGTATTTCAGATGTACAGAAAGTGTTAAATTTTACTTTACGTTGTGTTAATGGTATAATTTTACGCATTGTAATTTTCGTTACCAATTCAATAAAACCATTTAATAATTACCTTTATTTATATTAATGTACTATTATTCTATCAATAAATAATGAAACTAATGTGATGTTTCCTTTCATAAGAGAGGGTGAGTATTATCTTGAAAATTAAACATGTTGTATGATAACAATCAGAGAGAAAGTAGTGTTCAAAAGTGAAGAGAGGTTTCATCGTCTCGTAATAATACAATTTGTTATCGGTTAAAAATGAGTGATTCGTGCATGTGCACAACTTTGCTTCTTTATACAGCTTATTCTAAAACACGGGTGTCAAGGTGTAATGCTAGACTCTTGAAGATGAACATAGTGAATTCCGGATAAGCTAATACCGATTTCCACCAACGTTTCATCGTTATATAATAGGAGTTAAACCAAAACATGTCACAACTCTAGTATTAAGGTGTAGTTCCCTAAAGAATATAGCACAATACGATGAGAGTGGAGACTGATGAGTGAGAAAGAAGAGCACGAAAACATTAACATAGACAACTTTTCAGACCGACCGCTACGGAATATTCAGTAGGCAACTAGAAACGAAAATACCTTTCTGTTGGAATTAATCGCATCCAAGGACATTTCCCGCTTTTATCTCGTACCATTGTACCATTGTCTATTCAGTAAGCTCTCAACAGTATGGCCTGCCTCACACGGAAGGCAAAAAATGCAGTACATCAAATGCGTTATTCTGTAAGAGATTTCGGTTCAAGTGATATTGTACTTTGAGGCTCATTTTGCGGAATGAAGTCAAACTAAAGGTTTTGCCAACCTTTCATAATATCATAAAATTCGAAGCACTCATATACAAGAGTAAAAACTGCAAATTGCAGCTGTAAATCAAATTATTAGTTTATTTTTAACAAAATAAATCATTCCGAGGGAGAATATTTTACATTAAGAAATGAGACTGTTTTCAATTATAGAATCAACATTTCGTTATTATACAAAATTTTGAAATACAACATAAACAACATAAAACAATTATAGATCTATATAATAATTGTGTTGAAAATCACATTCAGAAACCAAATGTAATTGTATTATTGTGTTATTGTCTCCGAAATAATATTAATAAGGGAGAAAGAAAGAGAGAAAGACGAAAACAGTGAGAGAGGGAGAGAGAGCAAGGGGGAGGGGAAGGGAGAGGGAAAGGGAGGAAGAGAGTAGAGAGATTGGAGGAGAGTGGGAGATAGTGAAAGGAG